ATCATTTTTTTGTTTATTATGTTAGTTTAATTTCATATTTGAACATTTTTTTGAATAAAGTTTTCAATTTTTGTTGATTATGTTAGTTTAATTTTTTTTTTTTTTACTTTGCTTTTTATTAGGATTGATTGTATTATTGGGAAAGAAAGGAATAATTGAATCCTTTTTTAAGAGAAAAATAGAAAAAGATCCAAAGGAAAATGAAGGGGCATCAAACAAAATAGTTGAGGAACTTCAATAAGAGGTACACAAACACGAGTTATCTCCAAAGAGCCTACACAAGAAGAAGATTTGAAAGTCAATGTAGATGGTATTCTTATTGAGTGTGACCCAAGAAAGTGAAAGTAAATATATGAATATCCCTTATAAGGGCAAGATTAGATTCAAAGAGCTTATCTAATTGCTGGTGCATATCAGCCAAAACAAAGTGAGTATAAAAAATCTAGACAAATAAGCCATCAACGTTGCTTTATGTCATTATGGTTTACAATTAAAATGTTTTCATCATGGTTAGAATATTCTCCTAAGAAAGATGTAGCTTTTTGTCTGTATTGTTTTCTCTTTTACAACCCAAGAGGAAACTCTAGAGGTAGTGGTGGACATGATGCATTCATTGCAGGGGGATTTTCAAAATGGAAGAAAGTAAGAGATGGGAATAGATGTGCTTTCTTGAACCATGTGGGAAATAATCCCAACTCTTCTCATAAAATCAATGAAAGAGTTGGTGAAGATTTGATGAAGCAATCTCAACACATTGAACATTTGCTTCATAAGAAGATTACACAACAAGTTTTAGACAATTGTCTACAACTTCAAGCTTTCAATTGATGTATAAAATGGCTTGCAACTCAAGGTTGTGCTTTTAGAGGTCATGATGAAAGTAGCAACTCAAGCAATCATGAGAATTTTATTGAATTGTTGAAGTTATTGTCATTTTATAATGAGAATGTTAAACTTGTTATGGAGAATGCTCCTCAAAATGCTTTGTAAACTTCACCGGAAACTCAAAAGGAGATTTTACAAGTTTTGGTGAATAAAGTGAAAGAAAGTGTTCGCCAAGAAATAGGTGATGCTAAGTTCTGTAATATTATTGATGAAGCAAGAGATGAGTCAAAGAAGGAGCAAATGGCCATGGTTCTAAGATTTGTTGATAAGAAAGGAATTTTGAGAAAGCGCTTCTTTGGTGTTGTTCATGTAACAAATAGATCAACTAAAAATTTGAAAGATGCTATTGTTTCTCAATTTTCTTATTATGATCTTGACATTCAAAACATTCATGGTCAAGGATATGATGGTGCAAGTAATATGAAAGGTGAGTTTAACAGACTTCAAGCTTTGATTAGCAAAGAATGTCCTTATGCTTACTACATTCACTGCTTAGCTCATCATTTGCAATTAACTTTAGTTGCATCATCAAAGGAGGTCATTCCCATATATAGTTTTTTTTCAAACTTGACATGCATTGTCAATGTTGTTGTAGCTTTTTCTAAGTGCAATGATTAATCAAAATCTATTTATGCTTTTGATATTGTTCATTTGATTGAAATTGATGAGCTTGAAACTTGAAGTGGACTTAATCAGATTGGTACTCTATTGCGACTTGGTGACATTCGTTAGAGTTCACATTTGAAATCTGTATTAAGCATGTTAAAAATGTTTAGTGCAACTTATACTATTTTGAGCAAGTTAATTGAGGAAGGATATACTTCTTCACAATATGGAGAAGCATTTAAAGGTAATGTAACACATTAAAGGTAAAGAAAATTTTGGTCATAAAAAGGGGCTAAGGCTAATTTTCTTTTTCTCCTTGCCCATTTCTATGTGTTTCCCCCAGCCCTCACCAGAAGTTTGCCTCCACAAGCCCTAGCACCTCCTTGTTGGAAAAACAAGATAAGACTTAGCGTTTTCTTCCTTCTCCTAGCAAGGGTTAGAGATTTATAAGTTCATGGTTCTTAAAATGATGATCAAAACCCAGATGTTGTTGTTGATATCCTTCCAATTTACTGGTCCATGTAGGGTTCTTGAGCAGTGTAGGAGGTCACCATCTTTCTAGCATTTTCTAGTAAGAAATCAACCATATTGTTTTTCTTTTCATCTTTAATTTGAATTGGGTTAACCCTAATCCTTTAGAGTTTTCAATTTTGGGATTTTTTTTGTAGTTTTGCCTTGATTTTTGCTCATAATCTAACACCACCAGAATCTAATTCCTATTCTTGCTAAAAATTCTAACAACGACCTTATAATAGTATTTTGCCTATAACTCTTTTTGTAGATATTGAATTGAGTCCAGTCTTGATTTCATGGAAAGTTAAGAGATAGTCACACAATTTTTCTATTCGACATTTAACCCAATTAAGCTATTTTTATAGTGAAAACTTTGTTGCAATTTTCATTTCCTGAAAGCAGATAGAATTAGCAGCTCGACCTTATGTTAGTATTTTGGCCATAACTTTCTTTGTAGATATCAGATTAAGGTGATTCTTGATTTTGATCCTATAGAACGCTAAGATATAGGATTACAATCTATCTATTAACTATTTAGCCTAAATTGTCAATTTCTGGGTGCAAATTCTATTGAAACTTCTAGTTTAAAATCTAACCAGAACTTTCCTAGAAATTTGTTCTCGTCTAGTCAATTCTCACATTAATTGCTATATCGCATCATGGTTTTAGTAGATTTTTAGCCGTTATTTTCCTATTCTAAAACCCCTTGTTATTGCTTTATTTTGACTGCCTTTTTGGTACTGCATTTTTGTTTGAATGCTGCCCAGTTTTGGCTTGTAATCTACCTTGTTTTGTTGCTGTCTTTCTACCCAAAAACCCTTCATGTTCAGGGTTTTTTCCAAGCATTTTGGGACTACTTTAAATGGAAGAAACCCCACTTTGCTGCCCAATATTTCTGCTAGTGTCTAGGATGGTTCTGAGCTCAATTTCCCACATTTTTTTCATCTTATTCTGATCAAAAAATTTGATTGGAATACCTACTATTTAGTATGACATTTGGAGTTGTTTTAAGCCTATTCTAAGTATTCATTTGAGGTAGTATAGGTTCTAAATCACCTCAACAGCCTTGAGTTCTTGAATTCTTACTTGTTGTTTACTTACAAGACGAGATAAGTAAAATTATGATAAATGCCCTTAGATTTTTAAGGTAAAGGTTTAAAAGCATATTTGAACTATTTTTGAGATGGTGGTGGGAATTAACCCAATTTTCATTAGCACAAGCATGATTGATTAGAAATGAAGTTGTTATTATTTTATTGAGATGAGAATGGCTACATGGAATTTATTTAATTGTTTTGATGATCTGAAATTGGTTTGTGAATTATGAATTTTCTTATTAACTCTTGCATGGTTTTGTCTCCAATATGGTCAATTCTATCATCCCGCCAATGGGAGTTATAAACGCTAGCACATGTCGATATGTATTTCTATAGGACCAGTTTATCTAGCCAGTGGGAGAGTACACTGGTATTTTTGTTATCCAGCTAGTTGGGAGAGTACATTGACCATGACTAATTGAGGGGACGACTAAATAAATTCAATATGCATAAATAATTTACAACTGAGATTTCCTTCTTGTTGAAATTAAAAAGTTTATTTGGCATGCTTTAAAATTTTAGTGAGAGCTATCCATAATTTTACTTATTGAGTTATCTCATATAGTTTTTTCTCGTCCACCATTCCAAGTAATGAGACTAGAGACGTGGGAAACCAAGGGGAGTGAAGAGCCACTTATATTTTGGATTTAGATTATTATGGAGTTAGGCTGTTAGTCAAATTATTTTTGGACATAGAGTTGTATTAATTTTCATGCACTTTTGGCCTAGTAAAGCTTGAATTATAAAAGTCAGATTTTATTTCAAGATTTGTATCTTAGTTTAGTGAACTACCAAATATGAATTAAACACGTTCCAAGCCTTGTGCATTTGTGGGATCCTCTCACAAGTGTACGGCGTCTATTTCACTCCCAGTTTTTGGGACGTGACTGTAATATCCCAAAATTTTTGAAATTTTAGACATATATATGTATACATGAATACATTAGTACAAGTGAATTTAAATTTAAGTTAGGGATTTATATGGGAGGAATTATTATTGCTGGGTCTAATGACTAAAATTTTCAAACCTAAGGGGGTTAAAAATGAAATCTAGTTATAAAAAGGGACTGAGCTAATTCTCCCCTTTCTCTCCTTGCCTTTTTGTGACTCTGCAGCCCCTCACCAAAAACCTTGCCTCCCCAATCCCTAGCTTGTGCCTAGCCTTTATTCACCAGAAAAACAGGTGAGACTAAGCTTTTTCTTCCTTCTCCTAGCAAGATATAGAGATTAATAGACTTATTGTTCTCAAAATCATGATCAAAACCCAGATCTTGCTAATGGTATCCTTCCAATCTTTTGGTCCATGTCAAGTTCTGTACAGGACAAGGGAGGTCGCCATTTTCCAACACTTTCTGGTAAGAAATTAGCTATATGCTCATCTTTTCATCTTTGATTTGAGTTGGGTTAACTCTAATCCTTTAGGGTTTTTAATTTTAGGAATTTTCTATAGTCTTCCTCGATTTTGCCCTATTGCCACTAGATTTGATTCCTTTTGCTAGAAAATTTGACAACATGCCCTTGCAGTAGTGTTTTGCCCATAAGTCTTCTTGTAGATATCAGATTTAGTTCACTCTTGATTATGTGGAAATTTAAGAGATAGACCTACAATTTTTATGTTGGACATTTAACCCAATTAAGTTGTTTTCAAGGTGAAAACTCTACTGAAAGTTCGATTCCTACAGGCAGACAGAACTAGCAATCCGACCTTAAGTTAGTCTTTTGGCCATAAGTTTCTCTGTAGACGTCAAATTAAGGTGATTCTTGATCCTATAGAATGCTAAGAC